TGTTATGAATCATGACCCATCCGTGTTTTCTTCAGCCCTTTCGATTCGCCTGAAAACAGCACGGCCTCGACTGGCAGGCAACTGGCTCCCTGGAGAATAAGCAATAAACAGCTTCTTTTTTTTTTTTCTATTTTTTCTTTCACAAGGGCTTTGCCTGCGTGAATTCCAACTAAAAAAAAAAGAAAAAAAAAGCCGAATCCCAAAAGCCTGCCCCTGAGGCGGGGGGATGGATGTGGAAGCCCTGCTGTACCATTCATCAAAGAAACCCCAAATATAGAAAATATTACGCGGGAATGGAGATGATGTCTGCTTTTTCTTTCTGGGCTGTGAGTTCTTCCGAGGGCACCCGACCACCTTACACCACGGTGTTACGGCTTCTCAGAGCAGCCCAGGAAAGAGATACCCCCACTCTGCTTCTCTAGAGAGAAGATCACGGAATCATGGAATTGTCGGAGCTGGAAGGGACCTTCTAGAGATCTTCCAGTCCAACTCCCCTGCCAAAGCAGGGTTGCCCAGAGCACATCACTCAGGAGCATCCAGGTGGGGCTTGAAGATCTCCGGAGAAGGGGACTCCACACCCTCCCTGGGCAGCCTCTTCCAGGGCTCTGCCACCCTCACCCCAAAGAAGTTCTTCCTCACATTGGAGTGGAACTTCCCATGGTCCAGCTTGTACCCGTTGCCCCTCGTCCTGTCACTGGGAACCACTGAAATGAGTCCGGCTCCATCCTCCTTCAACCCACCCTTTAGGTACTTGTCAGCATTAATAAGATCTCCCCTCAGCCTTCTCTTCTCCAGGCTAAAGAGCCCCAGCTCTCTCAGCCTTTCCTCATCAGGGAGATGCTCCAATCCCTCCATCATCTTTGTTGCCCTACGCTGGACTCTCTCCAGCAGTTCCCTGTCTCTCTTGAACAGGGGAGCCCAGAACTGGACGCAGTATTCCAGTTGTGGCCTCCCCAGTGCAGAGCAGAGGGGGAGAATGACCTCCCTCCACCTCCTGGCCACACTCTTCCCTATGCAGCCCAGCATCCCATTGGCCACTTTACCTTTCTTTGGAGCCAGTCTTTGTTTCAGTGGTGCCCAGTGACAGGAACAAGAGGCAACGGGCACAAACTTGAAGATAAGAAGTTCCACATAAACGTGAGGAGGAACTTCTTCACTTTGGGGGTGGCAGAGCCCTGGAAGAGGCTGCCCAGGGAGGTGGTGGAGTCTTCTTCTCTGGAGACATTCAAACCCCACCTGGACACGTTCCTGTGCAACCTGCTCTGGGTGGACCTGCCCTGGCAGGGGGTTGGTCTAGACGATCTCCAGATTGTCCCCTTCCAACCCCATGGCATTCTGTGATTAATAGGGCAGACAAAGACCACAATCAGCCTTGTGTTTTCTACAGGAGGTGGGCACGTGTGGCTGCTCCATCCACCAAAGGAGGGTCAGGCTGGGTACGAACCCCAGAGGAAGAGAGGACTCAACCCCCAAGGCTGCCCAACCGTCGGGGCACTACCTGGCTCTGCTGCTGGGGATGAAGGTCTTGGGGGACCTCCTCCTCCTTTGAGTTGCCCTTTGTAGGATGCTGAACTCTGTTTGGCCGGTGGTCGTGAAGTCCCATTTCTAGATGGTTTTCCCACCCCACCCAGGAACAGATCTGCGTGTGGAAGAGACACAAACACCCTGAAGTCGCAAACCAGCTCCTCGAGGGAGGGGACGCTACTCCAGGGGGTACAGTCACTCCTGGGGGGTGCTTTACCCCCAGGAGGCTGATTTACTCAACCCCAAGCTGGTCCCGGATCCAGGTCCCCCCATCCCGGGTCTCGAACCCGGGTCTCCAATCCCGCTCAGGGCCGGAGCCCGAGGGGGCGTGACCTCCGATGACCGAGGGGCGTGGTCTGACATGGGGGCGTGGCTTCACCCCGCCGGGCGGCTCCGAGCCACTGCGGCGGCGCCGAAGGAGGGGGGGGTGCTCGGGGGCTCTGCTCCCATTGGCTGCCGAAGAGTACCGGCGATGACGTGGAGACGGGCGCTCCCATTGGCTGAGGGGG